GGTTTTCGAGTTCGAGGGGGGGGGGGGAGGGGAGGGGGGGGGGGGTTTGCCGGGGGAAGGGGGGGGGGGGGAGGGGTTCCAGCAGGGGGGGGGGATTTTCGGAGGGGGGGGGGGGACCCCCGGGCTCCGGAGGAAAAGGGCGGCAATTTTCCACAGTAAAGCGGCGGTGGATCACGCTCTCTCACATCTGTGCACCAGGGATTCTCGGCATCCGCCTCTGAGGAGGGGGCGCTGGCCGAGGGAAGGGGAGGGGTCCCGTGATGTCACGAGTTCCCCCCGGCGCCGTCGGGGAACTGCCACCCGTGGCCATCTCCAGAGGCGGCGCCTGCGCGAGCTTTTGGGGGCGAGGCGAGGCATGAAACAAGTGTCTCTGCCGTCGGGGACGCCTGCCCCTGGGCGGCTGGAAAGTTTATACCCCTACGGTGCCACCGTAAGGGTATAAACTTTCCAGCCGCCCAGGGGCAGGCGCCCCCGACGGCAGAGACAGTCTATCTTATACCGCTCTTCGCCCGCCAAGAGCAAACAGTATAAAAGTATAAACTTAAGCTTTCGGAGCTCGGCGCGGATTTCTTTCGATCTGCCATGGGTCCCCTGACAGCGCCTCTGGCGCCGCTCCCAGCGCGTTCCGCGCGCCAGGGGAGGGCGCTGCAGCGCCGATCCAAGAGATCCGCGCGGACCTCGAACAGGTTCTGTTTATCCGAAGAACATGCAAAGAGACGCAACAACTCGACCATTCCAAGAACATCTGGGAAAATCTGGGCAGCGGGAGGGGAAGACGAACAGACGAGCGTCCAGAAAAGATGGAAACTATTTGGAATCCTGGGACTCGTGTCTATGTATGTGTATATGTGTGTGTGTGTGTGTCCCTGCGCCCCCGTCAGTTTACGCAGTTTTTTGCTCCTCTATAGGCGACCCAACCACGCGCATCGCGCCCCGCGATGCGCGACGCGCGGTGATCTTCGTGCTCTCGCGCCCTCGACACGTCCCCTCGGAGAGGCCCCCCCCCCCCAAGGAGCCTCCACGGGGCAGCTACCGTAGCAGTTCTGGTTCCGTGCTCCTCTCTCTGCTTCTTTGTCAGAGTACTTTCGTTATCCTGTGGACAGCTGATGCGCGCCATGCCCCCCTCCCCTGATGAAATACCGCGAGGACTTTTGGGGTAAATTCTGGAATGCTAAAGGGGACCAGCGGGAGCAGCTTTCAGGAGTTTTGGATGCACTCAGACCCTTGGCTCTGGAGTCTTTGGATGATCTTGAACCTTCTGGAACCGTGCGATATTCAGAGAGCTGCTCGTCTTTTCCGAGAGGATACGGCCGTTGGCGTGGACCAGTGGCCCCCTCGAATGCTGGTTTCCTTTCCGTCTGAGGCGGTGCAGTCGTACACCCACCTCCTTAATAGGTGTGAGCGTCGGCTCATGTGGCCGACGCAGATTATGTTGGGCAACATTGCACTGTTGCCCGACCTGTGTGCAAGTGTCCCAATATGTACCGAGTCTATTGCAAAGCTCGTGGGAGCCATGTTGAGGAGTGGTCCCTTGCCCAGGTCAATCATTGGGACACTGCTATTCGAGGGTCGTCGGCTCTGCAGGCTGCGCTTAACCGAGAGCTCGGCCACGAGATGGCCAGGTATCTTGGGTTGAGCTCGGTGGGAGCGTATTGGGACCTTAAGAATTGGTTTGATATTGTGGACCCTTGTCGCCTTGCTGGACTCGCCGTGAAGATGAGGTACCCCCTGTTCCTCCTGTATTTGGGGATTGTGCTGCACGAAGCTCCTCGTATCCTCGAGGTCCAGGGTTTCTGTTCTGACCTCATCCCCACTGGAATGGGCATCTTGCCTGGCTGTGCCCAATCCATGCCGTGGATACAAATCTATTTGTATGACATACTGGATCAGGCCCACGCCTCCTTCTTGCCTGTCCGCATCAAGGGATACGTGGACGATATTACTCAGACGCAGCAAGGATCCCGCGAAGAGGTCCTCGCCGCGTTCGTGCCTGCTGCGTTGCACTTGTGCCACGAGCTGGAGGCTGCTGGCACATTCATTGCAGATAAAAGTACATTTTTGGTCTCCCACAAAGAGCTCGGAGCCGAGATCATGCAGATGTTCGCTTCAGTCAACCTTCCTACTCAGTGGAGAGATACGGTCCGAGATCTGGGGGTCATGTCTTCTGCAGGACTCCGCCGAAATATGAGCAAGTTGCGACAACGGCGTGCTATCGCCTATCGAAAGAGTAGGAAGGTGCAGTTTTTAACTCGGCTTGTAGGCCGAGCGAGCAAGCTGTATAAACCTGGGGTCCTGGCCGTGGGGTCGTGGGGCCATGAGGTCTTGGGGCTTTCTCCTGGTCAAGTCAATTCCATGCGCGCTCAGGCTGCCACGTGCTCTGGGTTGTGGGCCCCAGGGGCCTGTACCACTACCTTGCTAGGCTTATTGGGGGATGCGAAGGATGGCCCCCAGTTTAGGCTTCGCTATGAACAGCTCAATGGTTGGGCTTTATCGTGGGCTGATCTTGATCATAAATCGCGCAGGTTGTGTGCTGAGGTTTGGAAGAAGATATTTACCAAGATGGATCAGACCAAGTATCGTTGGCAGGTAATTAGAGGGCCGATGGCGGCCACCATTGCTGTGCTCCGTGACCTTGGCTGGCAGGCTGAGTCACCAGTGTACTGGCGCACTGAGGATTCGGTTTTAAGGTTGAATGATGGCGATTTCCCTTTCCAGCTTTGGGGAGCGCTTTTGAAAACGTGTTCTGCTGTGTCCTGGGGACAAGCTTCGAAGCATTTTTGTGGTGCGGGCCTGGAGAGAGGAGTTGATTTTACCCCTGTGCGTAGATTTTTGGCCAAGCTTGCCCGAGACGGTGAGCACGAGTCGGTGGGCATATTGCGTAATGTGATCATTGCCGCGTCATGGCGTGAAAAGCGATTGCATGCTGCTGGGTCCGTCTCTGACAGTAATGGGCTCGGCGGGAGATGTGGAGAGGCCCCTGAGCCCCCGTTGCATCGGTACTGGCAGTGTGCGTGCAATCGAGATATCCCTGACTGCACTATTGAAAATACCGATTCCTTGGCTCCCAAGGCCATTGCGGAAAACGACAAGCTGAGTTTTTGGTGTCGAGGGCTCCCGTCGTTGGGCGACTCCTTAGGGCACCTTCCCCCTCCGCAGCGTTTGGTTTGGGATTGGGGACGGTGTGTTGAAGGGGAGCTCATACGTGAGGGCGTTTGGGGTGTTGATGGGTCTGGAGGCAAATACTCGAAGGATTGGAGGCTACGTCGATGTGGATGGTCCTTCGTGCACCTCGGCCCAGATGGTAGGATAGACGCGGCTCGCTGTGGATCCTTGCCGTGTGCGCGTCAGTCTTCACCAAGGGCAGAGCTCTATGCCTTGATCGAACTGTCGCGAGCCAGTGTCGGAGATGTTCGAGTTTATTGTGACTGCCTGTTAGTCGTGAAGGGTGCGAGGAAAAGCTTACGGGCCAAGAGGAAGTCTAGCATGCTGGACCTGTGGGCTGAATTTCACCTTGTGCTCTCCGAGCGGAAGGGTTCTCTCCGACTGATCTGGACCAAAGGACGCCCCACCCAAGCCCAGGTCGAAAACATGTTTTTATCTGATGTAGAGGTGTATTTGCATAAAGCGGTTGACCGCATTGCTGATTGGGCAGCCGAGAAGGCCCAGTTGGACGATAATATTGTTTCTCTTATTGTGCGGGCTGATGAGCTCGCCGTTCAAGTTTTAAAAAGAATCCTGGCCGTCCAGCGTGAAGTTTTGTTTTCCTCGGAACGTGAGAGGAAGGGGATCCGCGAGCCTCGGCGAACTCGAGGGGTCGTCTCCTCTCTGTCCGAGCGTGTTTGTCGGTTGAGAGATGCAGGGCAAGATCCCCTTGTGCATAGGGCCTGCATCAAGTGCAGGCAATGTGGGCTGAGCTATGGCCTGAAAAGGCCAGCTTGCGGGTTTATGGCCCAATGCGTGCAAGCCCCGTTGCATCATCCAGCAGCGCGTTCAGCTGCTTGTGCCGCGGGAGGAGAGGGGTGACTCAGGCGCTGACCCCACCCCTGATTGCCTGGGGCCGTCGGACCTGTGTGGGGGTGCCCTGGACCCCCCGTTTGCCGACCGTTGTCACCCCTCCCACCGACTGTCGGTGCAGCGAGGAGTTCTGTTCTGCACGGTCTGTGGCGGATTTTGCACTGTTGCCCCTCCCCGCATCCTGAATGGAGTGTGCGGAGACCCCGCCCGAGGGCCATGCCCCTCGAAGGCGGGGCGTGAGGTGCTCTCGCGCCTGTCCAGGGGGCTGCCTCCAAAGTCGGGCACTGCGTTCCCTGATCGGGCATGAATGTGATTGTGCGGCCTGCCTAGAGCAGGATACCCGCCTTAGATAGAATTGGAATTAGAATTAGACTCAGAACGTCCGGCTTCTCCGCCCCCCTAGTCGTCCCCAGCACTGCCGCACTGCTTCCGGCACCACAGCCTGTGGTGCCGCAGCCACACGGCGGGGATGGGCGTCACCCCCCCCCGCCCCCCCTCTCCCCCCCGCAGCGCTCGGTAGCGCCGCGAATCGAAACATGCCCTATTGCTTCCCACCCCGCTTCTCCACCATCCTTCTGGCATCCCGCTCGCGTCGTGCCGCTCGCAGTTACGATGCTCGAATCTTCGAGGCCGCGGTCTCCACGCCAGTGTCCTGCTGGGCACGAGCGGGCCCCGCCAGCGCAGCGCGCACGTCTCGGGCGGTTGTTCGTTCGTTCCCGTGGCCGTTCTGGCTCGAGCCGGACTCAGACTCCGGTTCCTCGTTACAGTATATATTTACCCCGCATCACTCTCCACGCAGCCAGGGGCCGTCGCCTCGCGCGCCCCGTCAGCGATGCACGCCGTCAGTGTCTTGCTGGCCGCGTCAACCCTCCAGGCGCCGGCCTTGGCCTTGCACGCGAGCGACATGCGGTCGCACACCGAGACGCAGCTCGAGGCCGTGAGGGCCTTCTCGTTCCACGACTTCGTCGAGAAGTTTAATCGCTCGTATGCCCCGGGCACCGACGAGTGGGCGCACAGGCTGGGCCGCCCATTATCCGATTCGGTGCCGTCCGTTCGATTCGCGGGCTAAGCCCGTGATTCGCATTGAGAGTTGGGTTCTGTGACCCGATGTCGACTCGATCCTAGACGATCCGCTGGCAATCCTATCTGTTTTCGCGATTCGACCCAGCCTTGGCCTGACAGGGAAGCCGTCTACTCCAAGGAGAAGGATCGGCGGCGTGCCTGGGGGGAGGGAAGTGATAAGGAGCAGGCCAGAAGGCGGCGGGGCTTCTCAGCACCCACCGCGCCTCCTGAGAAGGTTTCGGAGTCTTCGGGGAAGGGGCAGATAAGACTCTTCAGAAGGCCAGAGGCCTTCCGAGCCTCATGAGAAGGCCCGCCCCCTCTCACTTCCGCCTCATGCTCGCCGCCGAAAGGAGGCGGTGCTATCATTCCTCTCGGGTCCGCCCGCGTCCTGGCTCATGGGGATCACGACGTTCGCGGACTACACCACCTCCGAGCGCTGGTCCATGTTGGGCCGGAGGGGCAGACCCAAGGCCAGGAGCGCGAGCACCCCTTCTCGAAGGAGAAAGATTTGCGTAAACATGAAACTCTCGGAGGTCTGCGTGGATTTCTTGGATCTGATGGCCCAATGTTTCACCACAGCTACCACAGATAGGACGGGGGAGAAGGGAGGATGGGGAGATCCTCCTCATCATCTTTTTCTTCCTCCCTTTGCTTACGTGGTCTCCTCATCCTCCTTCTCATCCTCCTCATCCTCCTCCCTCTCCTACCTATGGCAGTGGTAGTGGAACATCGACCCATCTGGATCGGCGCTGGGACCCGCCTGGCTGCGCCTCAGGCGCCGCCCCTGGTGCGCTAGACAGGGGGTCCAGCGCCGATCCAAGGAACCCGCGCGGATCTCTAAAAGGTTATGTATATGCTGTGCTTCTCCTTCTGTCCTCTGCGAGCTGGCGCAAGTGGACGTACCCCCAGGAGCTGAACGCCCTGCAGACCGGAAGCGCCTGGCAGCTGAGCGGCATCGTCCGCTCGCAGGAGACTTTTTATATATCCCCTGTAGATACCGGGCGTTACCGGCAAGCAGGGAGGGGGAGGCGGCTGGTAACGTCATGATTCTCGCTGGCGCTGTTCGATTATAGGTTAGGAAAGCTGAGGGATAGCCAATGCCCATGTGACGCCAGCGCCAATCGTGACGTTACCACAGGGGGGAATGTAGGGGGGGCGGGGCCGATAGCGCGCATTTTCGCACATAACGGAAGAGCTTGTCAAAAGGTGAGGAAGACAATTATCGGGTTGGGAGGGTGGGGATGGGAGAGATGACCAAATCATGCGTATCATCGCGTATGTCGAGTGTGCTTATTACACAGATGTGCCCCGTATTTCCCAAACCCCATACTCTCAACCAGCTCATTCCTTGAAGTATGATCGTCAGATGCTGGATTAGTCATCACTGGACCTTTTCTATTTGGTTGTGTCCAGCTTCTAAATCCACGATCGGTTGTTCCTGATGTACATTGGCAACAGAAAACATTTCTGGTAGGGTGGCTGCGGGAGCTGCTGGGCGATGGCGGCCACGGCCGTGCTCGAGGCCCGCATGGAGGCCAACGCCACGATCATGGGCTCCCTGCGCCAGGTCCTCGACAGCGAGGGGAGGACCGCCTCGGACTCGAGGCTGTCTGGAGACGCGGTCACGCACTGCACCAAGAACCCGCGGAACTGCGGCGGCACGGGCGGCTGCGACGGCGCGACGACCGAGCTGGCGTTCGACATGATGAAGGATCGAAGAGAAAGCGCCATAAGCACTGACATGTACTTTCGGAGGTCCGAGCGGATTTTCTTTGATCTGCTCTGGGCCTCCCTAGCGGCGCCTCTGGCACCGGCCCGTCCAGCGAATCGATCCAAGAAATTCGCGCGGACCTTCGAAAGCTGTTTTGTATGTAGATTTTCTTCCTCTAGAGGAGTCGGGAGTCCCCCTGCAGGACGACTTCGGGGGAGAGTGCTCCACGGCGAGGGCGCTGGTTGGCATCACCGGCTACGAGGTCCTGCCCTCTAACAAGCAGCACCCGCTTCTGCAGGCCCTGTTCGAGTCTGGGGGCCCCATAGCTGTGTCCGTGGACGCCTCCACGTGGTTCGGGTACCACGCCGGCATCTTCTCGGACACGACGGGTGGGAGTAAAGCCGAGTTCTCGAGAGAGGAAGCGGTACCGATACCAGTACCGTTGCCTTGTTTTTGTTTTCATTTGTGGGCCTCCTCGGAGGCCGTCGTCGTCACGGCTGGATTCGCTTCAAAGTTCTGGTAAGAATGCACCCCACAAGAAGTCGGAGGAGTAGCCGTATGGGAATTTTTGGTTTCTCCAGGTTTGTCATCAACCACGCGGTCACGCTGACGGGCTACAAGATGCCGAAAGGCACCGAGATGGGGTACTGGCGCATGTGATCGTTCCTTTACCCCCCCAGAGGTAACGCGTGTTACCCCATCCCAGGCCCCCCCGCGACGGTAACGCTTGCAAGCCGGACACAGGCGTGAATCCTTGTAGCTTCCGAAGGACATCGTAAGGAGTACACAGGCGCTCCGACGCACGCAGGCATCGACGTGCACGCAGGGCCAGTGCACTGCGGTGTACAGGGCGCTGTGGTGCACGCAGGCACTGTGGCGTACGCGAACGTTGCGGTGCACGTGGCTACTGTAGTCTGCACAGGCGATGCGGTGTTCAACGGCTTTGTGATGCACGGAAGCACTGTTGTGTTCACGGGCGTTGTGGCGCACGCAGCTGCTGTGGTGTACACAGACGTTGTGGTTTACGCAAGCGTTGCGGTGCAGCAGAATGATATCAAGGGAGGACGGGCAGGACGATGAGGAGGAAGGGGAGAGTAGGAGGTTGGAACGGGGAGGGAGCCAGATAACAGCATATGCGCAGCTTGGTGCCTGCGGGCTCTCGTTGTTGTCCGTTGTTGCATCTGTTCGCAGACAGTTCGCTGGCGCAGGGAAAGCGCGGCGGCGACCCCAGCGCGGGCGTTCAAGGTTGCGACGCGCCCTGGGGGGGCCCTTTCTCGGGCTCCAGGATTCGCAGAAACGTACCCGCGGTGGGAGATCATGGTTCAACATTGTGCCGAGAGTTTCTGGTCACGCAGATCGTTCAATTTCCAAGGCGTCACGACACGTACACACACAGGCGTTGTGGTGCACGGAGTTTTTGTGGTGTTCACAGTCGCCGTGGCACACACGGTTGCTGTGGTGCACACAGGCGCTTTGGTGTACACAAGCATTCTGGTGCACGCAGGCACCGTGATTTACACAGGCGCTGCTGCGCATGCGGCTGCTGCAGTGTACACAGGCTTTGTGGTGTACACAGGCAACGTGGTGCTGTGGTGCGCGCGGCTGCTGTGGTGTACGGTAGCACGGTGGTGTACGCAGGCGGCGCCGTGTTTCACAGGCATTGGGCATTGTCGCGTGCGCAGAGACTGGCACGCAGGCATTCGGCAGTGTCGTGGACACATGGGCTGTGGTGCACACAAGCGATTGATGTGCTGGTGGTTCGGATTCACCCTGGCGGGTGCACTCCGTGGCCGCCGTTGTTGTTACCCCCCTGCCCGCGCCCCCCCCCCGTGGTAATACGCGTTACCCCCAGCGGGTAAAAGACCGGTATCCATCAAGAACTCTTGGGGCCCCAGTTGGGGCGAGAACGGGTTCATCCGACTGGAGATGAAGAAGAACGAGGAGGCGCACTGCGGCATGGACACGATGACCCACGTGGGGCTGGCCTGCGACGGGGACCCCGACGAGGCCTGGGTGTGCGGCACCTGCGGCATCCTGTACGACAGCACGTACCCCACCGGCATCCACGTCCGGGGGGCCGCGCGCTGAGCACGCGCTTCCTCGAGGAATGGTCCGATCAGAAGCAAGAGTCACTCGGGCCAGTCTCGGGCGCGAGCCTGCCGCAGGCCTCTCGGCACCCCCAGCTCCTGTGAGCCGATCCGTTCTCGGCTCGGTCAGGAGCAACGTCAGGGAGGATAGGCTCAGGGATTTTCGGAGATCCTCGGGGGTTTTCGGAAGTTGTCGGAGATATTCGATCGTCGCGATGCGTTCCAGCAGCTGCGCCTCGCCGCGGACGTGTGGTGGTGCCCGGATAGTCCCGAACGGCTGCTGGAGACCCGAACTACGATCTAAAAACCAGAAGAGGAGGATCATTGGCTCAGGGGGGAACGCATCGACCCCCAACCGCCCATTCATCGTTGTAGGGACCGGAAAGCCCCACCCTCTCAGGAAGGTTCGGCTTCACTACCGGGGGCTTATCGCTGATCTGTCGGCGACACATCGCCGCTTCAAGATCGATGCTTCCCCCCCCTGAGCCGCTCCCCCCTATCGTCGCTTCTCCAACGGGGAATCATCTTACTGGCATGCGCGCTGCTCTTGAATCTGTCTCCCGCGGTCGCCGCCGAATTGGGGAGCCAGGCGCAATCCTCGGCAGCACAGCGCCGCCAGGGTCGGCCAGATTTTCCGGCCTGATCCCCGTGCGGTCGCCTTTTGCAGGCCTTGGCCAGCGCTGAGCTCGGTGTTCCAGCTTCGCCTGATCCTTCTGTCCTCTGAAGAAAAATCCCACAGAGCAGCTCGGGGTCCAAGATGTGGCCGGCCCAGCCTGGCAGCCGTGCGCATCCACAGATCCTTGGGCCCAACCATTGAGCAGCAGGGGCACGAAAGGAGAGACCAGTCCGCGAGCAGGTGCCCCGCTGTCATACCTTATTCCCCGATGGCCCCTATGGACCTGCTGGGCACCTATGACGATGCCGAGCGTCGATGGGAAGCGTGCTCCCCAGATCTATCACGGCAAAATGTCTCATCGCATTCACATGCTGCACCCTGCGGGCATCGTGGTGGGGGTGAATGCCCTCTGCGCCAGCGGGGCCCTGGGGCACACATCAGATTCTGCCAGTTTCCTCCGCTACCTTCCTCCTTCTCCTCCTCCTCCTCCTTGCCGCCCGTTTCCCCTCCACCACCCCCCTCCGTGTTTCGGGGGCAGCGTCAGGAGAGGACAGGCACGGGGGGAAACGCATCGACCCACAATCACCCATTGATCGCCGATGTGGGCTCGATAGCTCCCGGCCTGTTCCCTGGTGGTATCTGTGCGTCGTTGATCCAGTCTGTCTGGTCCGAGGACCCGAGAACACCCCCCCCCCTCCAGGGTCGGAAATTGAGGGCACATGATGGTCGACTAAACCATATCGTCGGAGATCTGGGTCTGCCTTGCTCGAGGTGGGCTGGCAAGGAGTGCCGTCCCTCTTCCCGCGAGGGGAAGTCCGACGCGGAGCACTTCAACAAGACCGTGGAGGCTCTGGCGCTCGTGGGCGTGGCTGGTGACCTTCTCAACCAGCTCCTCCGCGCCATCGCCGGGGTGTCTGCTCCCAGTTGGCCATGCTCGCAGCCCCCGATACGATCAGTTTTGATTACGACTCGACGAAGAATGGCTGCCTTGCGGCAGAAGGCCCCAAACAGCTTTACGGCAGGTTCGCGTCGTGTCAGCGCGGCGGCGATCCCGTCGCGGGCGTTCCAGGTAAAACACCGCCAATGGCCCAGAATCGGCCACCATCGAATGATCCCGCGATCGAAAAGCAGCCGCTCTTTCAAGCCTGAACGATCCACGTGGTGTCAGAAACCAGCGCCAGGCTTGTCACGACATTAACCTGCTGCACATGGGCACGATGGGTGGCCACGATGCGCCATCGATTTCGGGGCCCGGGCTCCCTCACAGGGCGTTCGAATCTATGTAGTTCTATTTATATAGTTATTTATATATAAATGTGTATTGCTAGATTGTCGATGTATGTATGTATATGATTTGTCTCTGACCTTGCCTGGCCATTTGCACTTTAGCACACCGCTCGCAATGCATTGTCTGTCAAACAGCACGGTTCGGGGCACTCGCGCCATGCGGCCCCCACCCGCATGTCGAAATCCGTTCAAAATCTTCACCGCCGACGTGTGGACACCATCATCGTCATCGGCGTGATCCGCATCGGCGCTGTCATTGGCGTTGCCGTCGTCATGTTCATCGTCGTCAGTAGTTTCGCTGAAATCATGATTCTGTCTGATTTGGCCGACGTCGCCAAGATACCGCGCCCGCCCGAGTCACCGACTCGCACTGAAGTGCCCGCGCATCAGCGCGGCTTGTGAGGCGCGCTGGGAAGTCCCCACTTGTCAGCGCCACCGCGGCCACGTCGGTCGCGCCAGACTAGCTGGCCGCTCTGCGCGCGAGCCTGCGCGCTGGCGCGGCCGTATCGATGCCCTAGCCACCGCCAGGCAGGCATCACAATTGCGGCCACATGGGCTTTGCAAACCAGGTTTCGGGTGGTGGGTGGGATGATTGCGCGACCAATGGAGTTAACAACGCACTACTGAGCATTGGTTAATTGCACCACACAAGCTGCACCACATCGATGGTTCCACATTTATATTGTAGCATATTGTTTGCACCATACAGGTTGCACCATATAAGTATTGCGCCACAGATGTTGCCCCACGTAAGTTGCCCATGCTAATTGCATACCACATATGGCAGAACATCGATCCTGCAACTTATATTCGCCCATGCCAATTGCACAGTCTAGAATGCACCAACTAGGTTGGAAAACATAGGGTGCGCCACTTATATCGAACAGCGTGTATTGCACAACATGTATTACTAGAAACACTCATTGGCGTCCACGCTGCCTAGTCTAGTACGGGACCCTTACAGACAAGGGCACCCTCACCAGATATCATCATGAAGGAAGGGTTCCCCAGGCAGTGGGGCACTGTTTGATGCAGTTGTCGGAAGTCCCCAGGACCCCTCCGCGGGCCTTGTGGCTGTCGAGTAACGTATCAGGTTCTGGGGAGGTGCTTGACGGTCCTGGACCAATTTCCCTCAGGTCCCACGCCCTCCATGCCAACGAGAGGAAGGGAGACGGGGGGGCGAGGTCCGAAGTACCTCGGGCCAGTGAGGCACGGGGAGGGACAGCCAGTGGGCCCGCCCGGGTGTGAGACCTTGCGGCGTGGCGTTTGCGGTGGCATCGAGGCGACGCTTGAGCTCCACGGGTCCGATCCGACCTTGACCTTGATCGCATTCTCCTCAGCGGCGGGGCTGGTCGAAAGGCCATCGCCCGGTTACGTCCGTCGAGCTGGTTCCCTCTCCCTCCAAGCGGCAGGCTCAGAGGTTCAGCAAAAGATTTGGCAGTCATCAAGTCTTCGGAAGCTGCATCTCGGTTCTACTCGTCCTCGTTCTCCATGTGCACTCGTCTCAGATTCTTCGTCCTCGTGCTCCTCTTCAACCTTCTTCTTCCCTCTGTCCCCGTTCTCGTCCTCGCCCTCTCTTCGCACTGGCCCGCCAGATGTTCCATTGCCCCGCCACTTGGCCCCCACAGCACGGCCCAGCAGCAGTTAGTCGTTATAAAGCGCTTCTCGAATACGCATATCAGCAAAAGCAGCACAAACTTTAGGAGCTTCCTTGTATTTATTGGCATCGGCGCTAGACCCCCCTGGCGGAAGGTCCAGCGCCGATCCAAGAAATCTTCGCGGACCTCCGCAAGTTGGTACGTATGCAGATTTTAGGCCCCGCAGTGTTCCTCGGCTGCCTTCGAACGCGGAGTGGATCCGCGCCGCTGCGACCAAAAGTGTGTCTCTGTGTGTGCTGATTTCTTGTAACTATGCTGTCCTCCTCATCCTCTACTTCTCGCTGGACGAGCGCTGGAGGTGCCCAGAGTAGCCCCACGGCTGCGCCTGGCAGCCGCGTCCTGGCCTCGCCGCTCAGCCCACTCGAGCGCGAAGCAGCCGACGGCTTACCTGAGGGACGCGCGTCGAGAAGCCGAATGCTTTTCGTCTGGGTACCCTGGGTTTCTTCGGTTCGCGCGCAGCGCAGTGACATCCGCGCCCGTTGAAGGAGCTGCTGCGTTCAGGGTGATGTGGGTTCCCCCCCGCTTGGATCTCGCGCTTGCGGGTTTTCAGGGCTGCTTTTCGTGCGAGGGTCTCTTGCGGCCGCGTCCGCACCGTACGTGGGGAGGTCGGCTGGTGGCCCCCGTCCCCGTGCAGACAAGGCTGTACGTGCCGATCTCCTGCGCTTCGGGGGCTATAGATATGACCACCGCCCGGGTGGTCGGCGCGGGCCCCCAGACGGTGCGGTGACGATACCACGTGGTGAGTCAGTGGGGATTCGGGGTCACCGCACGGTTTTGCGACTCGGGTCGTTCTCCTGGAACGTCTCGGGCGACTGGGGTTCCATGGTCCCAGAACTCTACGGTGACAGACCGTGCGGTGAGGTCTCTTGGGGTTCCGAGGTCACCGCACGGTCTATCAACACGTGGTGCTGGACCTCGAAGATCGATCTTCGGGGACCCCTGTAGGCGGTGGATATTGACAGATTCGGCCCCCTTGTGGGGGGGGAGGGCAACATGCTCATACCTCGAAGACACCGCCTGCCGAAGATCGAACCACCAGGCTGTGGTTGTGGACGAGTCCCCGCTTCGTATCTCCTGGCATGAGGAATGGTGACTGCCGAGCGCATGTCGTGGACCCTGTGCTCCCCCACCGGAGCACGTGTTTCATCCTGGGACGTTTGTTGACGGCCTCGGCGGCGTCAGAGAACGGGGTCCACTGCGCGGGTATTCGCACCTAGGCTACCCGCGCAAGGTCGCGCGCAAGCGCCGTCTTTTCCACGCGGGCGCTCCGCGTGAGCGGCTT